TGGGCCTCGGTCCCCTCACTGCACGCGGGGCTGCACCGGGGCGTCTCAGGAGGGCGGCGCGGTCTGCGCGATACCAGGGCCAGAGAGACTCCGCGCGTCTGTGGGCCGAGCCGGGCCAGGCTGCGGCGCGGGGCGCACACGCCCATCTCCCTGAACTCCCACGGCGCGGGTGGGAGCGGTGCCCGGGACGGCGTGAAGCACGGAGACAGCGCGGCAGGCGACGTCTGAAGGCCCGAGGGCCGGAGACCACAGGCGGGGACCGACTCCGACGATGGGAACAGAAAGGCCCCGGGACCCCAGGGCCGCCAGCGCCGCTCGCAGGATTCTGTGTGTCTCCGCGACACGCTACTTACCGCGGTGGAAGGCGCGGTTAAAGGGGCTCGAATGTGCGTGGAGACCCCAGACCTCAGGGGTGAAGGCCTGGGGACTGAGGTTCTGACACTCACTGAGCACGTTAAAAGCCCTCAGAGGCCCATTTGACGTTCGCTCCCTGACAGCCGCTTCCGGGTCGGTGAAAAACTGCGCGTGCGCGCCGGTGGAGCCGCGGGACTGGGCAGGGCCTGAGGGTAGTGCTTCCGGCAATGGGCTGCGCGCGAACAGTGGCCAGGCTCTGAGGCGCACAGCGTGTGGGCGGGGCTGGGGCGAGTCCTGGATTTTGCGCTTCCGGCAACAGGGGGAACTCACGCCCCGCCAGACCTCGGCCCCAAACCCGGGGGACAGGATGGGGTGGAGCTATAGAGGAGTGCTTCCGGTAATGGGAGAGAAACTGAAATGGCCGGTGGAGCCAAGATGTCGGAAGGGCGGGGCCAGGCGGAAACTGGGCGGAGAACTTCCGGCACTTGGCGAGTCCTGAGGTTTGCCTTAGTTAGGATTTCCGGAGAGAGAACGGGACTGCTCAGTTGGCTGGACAGGATCTGGCGTCCTCATGCTTTTTTCTTTTCTTTTTTTTTTTTAATTTTTAACCTTTTCTACTTATTATGTGTCCAGTGGGACGGGACTACTTCCTGGCAATTTAAGTTCATGTTTGAGCAGTGAGGTAAAGGTTGGAGTTGTGCGGGACATGTGTGTTGAAAGTTAACAGGGTTACATTTTAAGGGTGAAAGTGGCTTTCCTCAGAAACTGAGAACAAGAAACAACGTCTGGCAACGATGTGGAGAAAAAGGAACCCTCCTGTACCGTCTGTGGGAATGCAAACTGGTTCAGACCAGACTGTAGAAGACAGTATGGATTTAGTCCAAATGTTAAAACTAGAACTACCTTACTACCCAGTCATTGAACTAGTGGGTATTTACCCAAAGAATAGTTAACACCAATTCCAACAGATATATGCACCCATATGTTTGCTGTAGCGTTTACAATAACCAAATTATGGAAACAAATGTCCATCAACTGATGAATGGATGAGAAGATTATACACACACACACACACACACACAATGGAATATTATTCAGCCATAAAATAGAGTGAAATCTTGCCATTTGCAACAACATGGATGGAGCTAGATGGTCTAATGCTAAGTGAAATAAGTCCTTTTTCTCCAAGTCTTTGCCAACACTCATTGTTTCTTGTGTTGTTGATTTTAGACATTCTTACAGGTGTGAGGCGATATCTCATTGTACTTTTGATTTGCATTTCCCTGATAGTAAGTGATGATGAACATCTTTTCATGTATCTCTTGACCATCTGGATGGCTTCTGCCAAGTTCACTTTACTTTTATCCAAAGTTACTAATGTGTTTTCATTAAAAAATTATTTTATATTTTAGCACTTTGCTCCTTTTCTGTTTCATTTTGTATAAAAAGACTTTTAATATATAAAATTTGTAAGGTTTCACTGCCAAATACATTATATGGCATTTCATAAGCTTTAAAGTAATGCTTAGAGTCTTGATGTTCATTACATTTGAATTCCTTAGCATTTACTAAAATTTGAATATTACAAATTCTTTAAGTTTTTCACACCAAAATTAACATTGTGATGATCCCACAAAGATTGAATTTTGGGTGAAAATGTTGCCATGTATATTACATTTTAAGATTTCTCTGAGGTAGTTATTTCCTGATGTTTAGTAATGTTTTACACTTACTTAAATATAGTGCCCATTCAGTATAATTTTAAGATCTCCCCACTATGAATGTCTGACTAGTGAAAATTCATCCGGAAGACTTTGCAAGTTCATTACTTTTGCAATTTTCCCCCAATAACTGTGATATTTTGTTATCAATAAAGGATGGCTCAAAACTTTTCTACCTTTGCAAATGTTGGTTTTGACACTAGGAAGAATTCTTTTAGGTTGTGACAGTAAGGATCCATTTTGACAGATTTCTTTACTTGATTATGTTCATAATGTACATCTTTGGTTTTAAATGTAAGTCACCCAGATATAGCTGAAAAAATAATCCAATAATATTATCAAATCATTCCATGAATTTGTTTCCTACACATTAAAAAATAGTTTTGGGGATACATTTGGGGATCTTGCAGAAGGTAGATTATATAGCTTATGCTGTACTACATAATATTGTCAACCATACATGTTGGTTTCAGCATGGACTCCCATCTTCACAAGCAAAGTTCCATCAAACTCTGGAGTTGTAGAACTTCCATCAAACAGTTGTGGAGAAGCCAATTATAGGTGGAAGTCATGCACCTATTTTGTTTATGGGGAATTTTGTTGCTTATAAAATTTATAAGTCAGCAAAATGAAAACCTTCACAAGTGAAAAAAAAAAAGTATTTCCTCAATCACAGGAAGGCTTTGATATGTGTCTCCCTGTTATAACATTATAAAAAGGATGCAATTAAAGATTAAAGATTTCAAAATCATTAGATTTCAAATTTTAGAAAAACACAAACTTAGGTGAATTAAAAATTAAACTGCATCACAAAAACAGAGTATATACTTTTTAAGCACACATGGAACATATATTTATCACTATCAAAATTTAAAAATCTAGACTTAGGTAAGGAGAGACATATACAAAACATTCTTGCAATAGAGAAATTTCCCTGATCACAAGATGTACAAAAATCTCAAGGTCTGACAGAAAAAAAATGGTTTTCTAAAGAGGAGTAAACAAGACTAGCAAGAAGAAGAGATGTTGTAGTATATAAGCAGGTAGCATGACCTATAGTTAATCAGGAAATTTTTTTAAAAGATTTTTATTTATTTTAGAGAGAGAGTGGGGAGAGGTACAGAGGGAGAGGGAGAGAGAATCCTAAGCAGACTCCCTACTGAGTGCAGAGCCTGAAGCAGGGCCTGATGCAGAGCTGTAGGAGTTCGATCCCAGGACCCATGAGATCATGAACTAAACCACAATCACAAGTCAGACACTCAACCAACTGAGCCACGCAGGTATCCTGATCAGGAAATATTTTACCCTGAGGTCAGCCCTCTCTTTTGAGGGTCTGTTAGCAGGAAGTGTTTTTCCTAATTACAATCTTAAGATGAGCCAGTGTTCAGGTTCTGGAACCTTGGGAGGAGAGAACTTAATATTTGATTAAGTCATGTTACAGGTATTAAATTCTGGATGATCAGTAGGGACAATCAGTTCACCTAATTATTTACAAAAGGTTGGGGGGGGGGACTTTCAAGGATTTCTGCCTGGCTTTGTTCCAAGTAAACTATAGACTCTAAGTCCTACCAAGTAATATAAGAAAGGGTATTTTTTACTGTAAGCTGTTTCCTGGAAGAGAAAGCATTGAGGAATTTCTTAACCATACTGTTTTCCAGGATTCCATACTCATATAAATGTCAATATTCTCATTACCTATTAGAAGACCCTAAAATGAATAGAGTTCAAAAAAATGAGTACATGTTATATTTGTAAAAAGTAGTATTAAAAATGTGGATTAATAACAGTGACAGTGAACTTGCCTAGGAACTCAAAAGTATATGCCTGTGTATGGCATTTAAAGTCCCTGCATCTTTATTATACCATTTTTGCAAAATTTTGACAGGAAGTAAGTACACAGTTTTAAAATTATTGTACAAAATAGGATGAGGTGCAGAATGATGAACGCATTTTGTATGATAGTATGACATTTTGTGAAAAATCATTTCATCCTAAAGGGGTCTTTTCTAAAAACCTTGAGAAGGTGGGCGCCTGGGTGGCTCAGTGGGTTAAAGCCTCTGCCTTCATCTCAGGTCATGGTCCCAGGGTCCTGAGATCGAGGCCCGCATTGGGCTCTCTGCTCAGCGGGGAGCCTGCTTCCTCCTCTCTCTCTGACTGCCTCTCTGCCTACTTGTGATCTCTCTCTCTGTCAAATAAATAAATAAAATCTTTAAAAAAGACAAAACAACAACAACAAAAAAACCTTGAGAAGGGAGTTAGCCCATATTCATTTTCCTAGGATACAGGGAAACAGATGATATTTACATAAGGAAAAGAACATGGGGGAGCAGGGGTCATACAACTGACAAAAATTGTGATGTTTAGTTCAGCCTGCATGGTAATGACTGGGGAAAGATGGACTCAAAATAGGCGAACACCTAGTTGTAGCAATGTAATTTCACAGGTAACACCCATAGGCTTGTGAGTATAATCAGTAGTATCATCTAGGAATAAAGAGAAATTGGTTACAGGTAAAACCAAGTGGTCTTCAACATAGTGAATAGATCACAATTTTTGGTGACAGATCTAACCATCAGAAAAGTTTTCCCCTTTTGCAATGGACTGAAACAAGCAGATTGGAGCATAGTTTAGGAAAAACCAGAAATGAAATCTTTGTGTGCAACTATGTAAGAAAAGTTTCCCTTGCTCAAGCACATAAAAAAACCCCTGGAATATAAAAGGGGTAGTGAGAAAACCAAACCCCGACCCCTGCCCCCTCCAGCCCAATGGCTTATTTTTGGTTGGGAGATTTTGATAACTGATTCCATGTCCTTACTTGTCATTAGTCTGTTAAGATTTTTTTTGTGATTTAAGCTTTGTGGATCGTATATTTCTAGGTATTTTTTAGGTTCTCCAATGTGTTGGACTGTTTATACTTTCTTATGATCTTTTGTATTTCTATGTTATCTGTTGTAATGTTTCCTCTTTCATGTGATTGAGTCTTCTTTTTTTTCCCAGTGAAGCTCAAGTTCTGTCAATTATGTTTAGCTGTTCAAAAAGCCAGTCTTGGGGCGCCTGGGTGGCTCAGTGGGTTAAGGCCTCTGCCTTCAGCTCGGGTCATGATCTCAGGGTCCTGGGATCAAACCCCGCATTGGGCGCTCTGCTCGGCAGGGAGACTGCTTCCCCCTCTCTCTCTCTGCCTGCCTCTCTGCCTACGTGTGATCTCTGTCAAATAAATAAATAAAATCTTAAAAAAAAAAAAACAGTCTTTAATAATAAAGAGGAGAGGGGCACCTGGGTGGCTCAGTGGGTTAAGCCTCTGCCTTCAGCTCAGGTCATGATCCCAGGGTCCTGGGATTGAGCCCCGGCATTGGGCTCTCTGCTCAGCAGGGAGCCTGCTTTGGTCCCCCCTCCCCACCCCACCCCCGCCTGCCTCTCTGCCTACCTGTGAGCTCTCCCTGTCAAATAAATAAATAAAATCTTAAAAAATAATAATAAAGAGGACAAGCCAACAAGAAGATAAAGCAATTATAAATATTTGTGCACCCAACACTGGAGCATTTTATTTCCATAGGAGCATTTAAATACATAAAACAGTTAATTACAAAAATAAAGGAATTAATTGATAACACAATTATAGTATGGGACTTTAACACCCTGCTTACATCAATGGACAGATAACCTAAACAGAAAGCCAACATGGAAACAGTGGCTTTGAATGACACACTGGAAGAGATGGACTTGACAGATGTATTCAGAACATTCCATCCTAAAATGGCAAATACACATTCTTTTCAAGTACACACAGAACACTCTCCAGAATAGGTCATATATCAGCCCATAAAACAGCCTCAACAAATTTAAGATCAAATTCATACCATGTGTATTTTCTGAACACAATGCTATGAAACAAAGTCAACCATAAGAAAAAATGTGGGAAGATGACAAATACACAGACGTTAAACAACACGTTACTAAACAATGAATGGATCAACCAGGAAATAAAAGAAAAAAATTTTTAAAGTATATGGAAATAAATGAAAATGAAAACACAATGGCCCCAAATCTATGGGATACAGCAAAACTGATTCTAAGTGGAGAGTTTATAAAAATACAGTTTAAAGTATTTTATTTATTTATTTGACAGAGAGAGACAGTGGGAGAGGGAACACAAGCAGGGGGAGTGGGAGAGGGAGAAGCAGGCCTCCCATTGAGTAGGGAGTCTGATGTGGGGCTTGATCCCAGGACCCTGGGATCACGACCTGAGCCGAAGCAGACGCTTAACGACTGAGCCACCCAGGTGCCCCAGAAATACAGTTTATAGAAATACATAAATACAGGAGTACCTAAGAAGCAAGAAAAATCTGAAATAAACAACCTAATATTATATCTAAAGGAGCTAGAAAAAGAAAAACAAAACCTAAAACTAGCAGAAGAAAGGAAATAGTAAAGATTAGGACAGAAATAAATGATATAGAAACGAAAACAAAACAAGACAACAGAACAGATGAATGAGACCAGGAGCTGGTTCTTTGAAAAAGATCAATAAAAGTGATAAACCTCAAAAAAAATTGATAAACCTCTAGCCAGACTTACCAAGAAGAGAAAGGACTCAAATAAATAAAATGACAAATGAGAGGGAGAAATAACAACCAACACCACAGAAATACAATTGTAAGTGAATGTTATTAAATACTATATGCCAACAAATTGAACAACTTAGAAGAAATGGATAAATTCCTAGAACATAAACTTCCACAACTGGAGAAAGGAATAAATAAAAAGTGAACAGACTGATAACCAGCAAAGAAACTTAATCAGTAATCAAAAAACTCCCAACAAATTAAAGTCCAGGCCAGATGGCTTCACAGATGAATTCTACCAAACATTTAAAGAAGAGTTAATACCTTCTCTTCTCAAACTTTTCCAAAAAAAAAAAAAAAAAAAAAAGGAAAACTTCCAAATTCAATTCATGAGGCGAGTATTATCATGATACCAAAACCAGATAAAGACACCACTAAAAAAAGAGAACTACAGACCAATATCCCTGGTGAACATAGATGCAAAAAAAATCTAAATAAATACTAACAAACCAAATTCAACCAAATTCAAAGAATCATACACCATGATCAAGCAGGATTTACTCCTGGATTGCAAGGGTGGTTCAATATTTGCAAATCAATGTGATACATCACATCAATAAGGGAAAGGTAAAAACCATGATATAAATGGGGTGTTAAAGTCCTGTACTATAATCGTGTTATCAAAAGTTCCTTTATTTTTATAATTAACTGTTTTATCTATTTAAATGCTCCTATGTTTTGTGATGAAATTCCTCTGGAGTTAGTAGTGATAGGTTTTACAAAATTGTGAATTCACAAAAAGCCACTTAATTGTACACTGTTAAGGTATCAACTTTATGGCATGTGAATTATATATAAATAAAATGAACAAATATCTAATATATTTACATTGAATTCAGGAAAACGTTCTGACAGATTGACTCTGGCCTCAAGACCTTGGAGATACAGTACAAGTGATGAGGATAGCGATTATAATGGCAGGAAAAGAAGAGATTTTACATTTTTGAGGTGAAATGAGCACATTTTTTTACAGATTTTATTTATTTATTTGACAGAGATCACAAGTAGGCAGAAGGGCAGGCAGAGAGAGAGGAGGGGAAGCAGGCTCCCTGCTGAGCAGTTAGCCCGATGCGGGGCTCGAACCCAGGACCCTGGGATCATGACCTGAGCTGAAAGCAGAGGCTTTAACCCACTGAGCCACCCAGGTGCCCAGAAATGAGCACAATTTTAACCAAAATTCCAGTGTAATTGGAAGCACTTAGGTCTCCTGCCTTCACATTTCAAGATGTCTGTCAGTTCATCTTGCATCACTGCAGTTATTACTGAACTAAAGATATAAAGGACCCTCTTTCTGTACACTCATAAAGCACTTACTTTGTACCTCTCATTTTTATGTTGTACAAGTTTCAAAACAACCCTTTTGTCATACAGCCTCCAATTTTTTTTTTACTAAAGGGATGAAATGTAAATAAAATATATAAATTAGTTTAAAAGGTGTGGAGGGAAAAGTGGTAAGGAAAATTTTTATAAGAAAATTAAAGTGAATTTCTAACACAGTTGAAAAAGAACCATAAACCATAAGGCTTGTTAATGTATTCTCAAATTTAGATTTTTCTAGCCTTTGAAAAATTTCTCTCCTAGTAAAATCCTTGTCATTATTTCTTGTCTGATAAAACTTCTACACATCAATTTTCATGAAACTACCACAAAAATATCACAATTTATCTAAACAGTATTTCATACTTCCAATAACATATTGTATAAAGAATCCTACCTGTGCAGCAGCAAAGGTATTAGCATCAGGAAAAATGGTCTTTCCCAACCAAGGAGTGAGACACTTCAAAAGTAAACATTCAGTGCTGAATTATTCTAACTTCATTTTTTTAAAGGTTTTATTCATTTATTTGACAGACAAAGATCACAAGTAGGCAGAGAGGCAGGCAGAGAGAGGGGAGGGGGAGAAGCAGGCTCCCTGCTGAGCAGAGAGCCTGATGCGGGGCTCGATCCCAGGACCCTGGGACCATGACCCGAGCTGAAGGCAGAGACTTTAACCCACTGAGCCAGCCAGGCGCCCCATCTAACTTCATTTTTAAAAATTTGATTATTAACAGCTTTTAAGTCTCCCATCCCTCCTCCCATTCTACCTCAAACCTATATAGGCTGATGAGAAAGGCTGTGTACTTTTTCTTTGGCACTGGTGGAAAGTTTAGGCCACATTCAGTACCCTCTCCTCAGCTCCACCATAAGAGCCCCATACCAACAAATCTGGACAAGAGGGTCCTTAACATATTAATCATGACTTAGATAGTAGTTTTATATCTATTAAATGCCACTCATGCTGTCACTCAAATTTATATTATATTGGGTTATAATTTCAGTGTTCTTGTTCTTCCAGTAAATTCTGAACATGAATGAACATCACCTAATGAAGTTTGCCCTTTTATCTTATTAAACCCTTCCAAGAGATCTTTGTGGTGACATGAAAGGATTATAATTAAAGTATAATATTAACAGATTTCAAACCTCAGGATGGAAATCACTGATAGTAATTTGGCCTTTTCAAGAAACCTGAAATAAACTATTTAATAAAATGAAGGTACAGGCATCCCTTTAACTTTAACAGCCATTATAGGTATTATTAATTTTTAATCAACTATCAATTATTAAATTTATTTAGAATTAAATTGAATAATCTTTCAGAAGAACTAAAGAGACCATTTTCTCTACTATGAATTATATGTAGCCAATTGTGAGAAATGGTTAAACAACTTATCACATTCATTACAGCTTTAAGGCTTCTCTACAATATAAATTCTTTGGTAAATCTTGAGATTAGATCATTGCCTAAAGGTCTTGCCACTTTGAATACATTTGTATGTTTTCTCTCTGATGTGAATTCTCTCATGACCCCTAAAGTAAACATTTGAACATCTGATAAAAGTTTAACACATTCGGGCACCTGGGTGGCTCAGTGGGTTAAGCCGCTGCCTTCAGCTCAGGTCATGATCTCAGGGTCCTGGGATCGAGTCCCGCATCGGGCTCTCTGCTCAGCAAGAAGCCTGCTTCCCTCTCTCTCTCTCTCTGCCTGACTCTCCTTCTACTTGTGATCTCTATCTGTCAAATAAATAAATAAAATCTTTAAAAAAAAAAAAAAGTTTAACACATTCATTACATTTATAAGGTTTCTCTCCAGTAGGAGATATTACAGATGCTTGATCTTTGGATAAAAGCCTGGCCATACCCATTACATTTTTGTGGTTTCTTTCAAAGATGCATATTCTGGTGTCTACTTAACTGTGAGCCCTGGTTACAGGCTTTGCCAAATACATGACTTCCTTATATGGCTTCTGTTCAGTATGGATTCTTTGATGTTAAGTCTTGAAAACACATTAAAGTTTTTGCTACACACATTGAAATTTTAAGGTTTCTCTTTACCACAAATTCTCTGGGAATCCCCAGTGCTTGATCTTTGGATAAAAGCATTTCCACATATATTAGGTTTACAATGTTTCTTTTCAGTGTGTATTTTCTGATGTCTAGTAGGATTTGCAAATTGGGTAAAGGCCTTGTCACATCCATTACATTTGTAAGGCTTCTCCCCAGTATGGATTCTTTGATGTTGGGTAAGGCTTGAACACACATTAAAGGCTTTGCCACACTCATTACACTTACAAGGCTCCTCTCCAGTATGAATTATCTGATGTTTGACAAGGTTAGAGGACTGGTTAAAGGCTTTGCCACATTCCTTACATTTGTAAGGCTTTTCTCCACTATGAATTCTCTTATGTTGAGTAAGGCTTGAAAGCTCCATGAAGGCTTTGCCACACTCAGTACATTTGTAAGGTTTCTCTCCAGTATGAACTCTCTGATGAATTATAAGATTTGAATGTTGACTACAGACCTTGTCACATGCCTTACATTTATATGGTTTCTCTCCAGTATGGATTCTCTGGTGTATAGTGAGATGTGAGATCTGGTTAAAGGATTTGTCACACTGATTACATTTGTAAGGTCTCTGCCCAGAATGAATTCTCCGATAATTGGTGAGATTTGAGCTTCCTCTAAAAGTCTTCCCACATTCATTACATTTATAAGGTTTCTCTCCAGTATGAATTCACCTATGTTGAATAAGGCTTGAATCCTCAGAAAAGACTTTGCCACACTCATTACATTTGTAAGGTTTTTCTCCAGTATGAATTTTTCTGATGCCGTGCAAGATTTGAATTTTGCCTACAGCCCTTGCCACATATATTACACTTAATGGTTTTTCACTGGTATGGATTCTCTGATGCCTAGTCAGTTTTGCAAATTGGGAAAAGGCTTTGCCACACTCACTATATTTGTAAGGCCTCTGCCCATAATGAATTCTCCAATGACTAGCGAGGTCTGAGCTTTCTCTAAAAGCCTTCCCACAATCATTACATTTGTAAGGCTTTTCACTAATAGGTGTTTTTTGATGTATAATTAATGAAGGAAGTATAAAAAGTTTCCCAGATTTATTACAAATAAAAATAAAATAATTAAAAAAAACAGGCCCATCATGTTTATGTATCCAACACTAATTCACACAGGAAAAAAAATGTGAAAGCTAAAATCTGAACCTAGGCCTGTAGGCTCAGACCACATGTCCTTGAGCACTAAACAGTTTATTACTGCCCACTCAGGAAGTGAGCAGAAGGTCATAGCAAACCCCACCAGCATACAGGGAAATGCTTCAAGAAAAGCACAGGAATTGAGTTGTGTTACTAATACTGTTACTGACTCATCCCACCTGGATAAGAGCATCTCAGTCATCACTTCCTGAATGTGTTGATTTAAACAGTGACCAGGCATGGTGCTATCCTGAACTAGCTGTCCTCTGGGAGAGTAGGGATCTTTATACAATGTGGAACGGGTAAGGACAGGGAACGCTGAGGAGACTTGGGTGTCCACGGGCTCAAAATTAATCTGCTAAGGAAAAAACAGTGTTCTTCATCCAGATCCATGAATCAATGAATGGGGGAGATCAATGAATGGGGGAGAATGGAAGAGATGAAGAAGGCAATTAGCATGATACAGTGGAAGGAATACAGGTTTAGCTCTATTCTAATATTTGACCTGAAATTTCTCAAATGGGATATCCATTGCTTTCTATTTATAAGCATTTACTCAAGAGAGCCCTACATATAGACATGTATAAAAATGTTCTTAGGAGGCATCAAAAGCAAAATTCTGGACATTGCCATCAAGGGCAGAACGGATGAACTCACTCTACACAGGCAGATGCCATAAAAGTGTGTCAGAATTCAACAATGGAGAGTGACATGGGCGCAAGATGGTGAGTCCCTGGTGGGGACGACAGAGTTAGCAGGTTTTGTCAGGTCTGAACTTTGGGGGAGATGTGGATAGATTAGCTAAAAGGAACATACCAACCAAATTATTACTTACTTAATATGTTCTATAAATAGAAATTTACCAGTTTGGCATGCTAACCTTTTTGAGACTGAGTTTCCTTGTTACATAAAAACCATAGTGCTTCCTTGGGTGCCCAGGTGGCACAGCTGGTTAAGCATCCCACTCTTGGTTTCGGCTCTGGTCATGATCCCAGGGTCCTGGGACTGAGCCCCATGTTGGACTCCATGCTCAGTGCAGAGACTGCTTGAGATTCTCCCTCTCCCTCCGCCCTTCCTGCTCATGCTCTCTCATCCTCTTTCTCTTTCTCTCTTTCAAATAAATAAATCTTTTTTTTAAAGATTTTATTTATTTATTTGACAGACAGAGATCACAAGTATGCAGAGAGGCAGGCAGAGGGAGAGAGGGAAGCAGGCTTCCCGCTGAGCAGAGAGCCCAGTGCCGGGGCTCAATCCCAGGACCCTGGGATCATGACCTGAGCCGAAGGCAGAGGCTTAACCCACTGAGCCACCCAGGCGCCCCAGAATAAAACATTTTGTACCAAAATATGAAAGTCAGTAAAATTCAAATAAAATCCAAGAAATTATATTTAGAAAACTTAAAAATACTACAGAAAAAGCAAGGTATCCTATATAACAATTATGGCAAATCAATTTAATGATTTCTGGCATGAACATAGTAATTTAATAAAAAAATTTTTTCTCAAGATGTCCAATATTCCCAATTTTACAAATCCAACCAACTTGAGAAAAAGGTATTTTAGTAATAGGTAAGTCAGGTGAAAGAGAAATAAAGGGACTAAGACAATTTTTTCACAAAGTTCAGGAATTTGAGTAGGTTTGGGGGAAACTGCTGTTAAGCCATAACCCTCAGCACTCAAGAAGCAAATCTTGTAATATATATATATATATATCTTTTTAATTAACATACAATGTAATATAGTATATATTTTAAAATATATGTTCTCCTTGGGATAAGTTTGTACATCTATGATTGCTGGTTCAAAGGGAATGATCATTAGCTATTTGATCAACACTGCCACACTATCTTTAAGAGACTCTGTGACACTCCAAAAAGAACAGAAAGAGAACTATAATCACTCATCAGTCAGACTTCCCTGATACTTCCTATCTCAGCCTCCCTAGGACTTGCTGACCACCCCATTCAGTGGCTTACCTGGGTGCTTCTGTAAGTGGCAGGACAGCACAATAATACAGTAATCAAAATGTTCTTCTTCAAAAATGTTGTTACCCAATAAAACCCCTCCATGGATAAGTCCACCAGAAGTTGTCCATCATCTAAAAGTGGGTTATCAGAGCAGAAAAGAGGATTATTCCAGACCCTAGGAAAACATGTTTCACAAGCCAAACTGTGCAGACTTAAGAAAATACAAAATCTGGACTAGCCAAGTATTGTCTGCATTACTAGCCCAGGCAGAGTGCAGGAAGGAAAATAAGGCAAGATAAGAGATGGAAAGCAAGGGAGTTCGATTTTGCAGAGTCTTTGAGAAGACAAGAGATGCTCCCCATGTAGGACTGGGTTTCAAAGAGAATCTCTGTCCACTGTCTGCATAGTACTTCTGACAAATCATCTCAGAACCCGCCCTATTGCCTGGTTATACTCTTGATGTGTGGCAAGAGCAGGCCTGACAAAATGACCAGGAGGTCTTGAGACAGTCCCATGCAGCCTTGGGGCCCCAAGTGCCGTGGAGGAGCAGCCAATGTTTTCCTATCTCCGAAACACAGGAACAGAGGATGAAACCTGGACAGGTCCTGGAGTCAGATCTACGGAGGAACTGACAGATCAGATGGAATCAGTTGGCATCAAGTATGGAGGGAAGAGACCAGAGAAAAAGAGGACCCCTATGAAGCAGCCCTTCTCATCCCTCTCAAAGCCAAGGGAACAAAAAGGTCACAGCAGCCAGATAAGAGTGTCGCAGGTCATGATAAAGACTGCCATTGTCTCTGCATCAGCTGGAATGTCATGTCTGCAGAACAGAGAAATGGGGGAGAGTTCCTTTGAGGGCTCACAAGTACTTTTCTTTTCTCACAGACCTCTCCTCTTTGAGGAAAGTTTCCCAAACAATATTTGATGAAGCAGTTGCATCTCTGGCCACCTCAGCTGCTACCAGTGTTCGCATCTTCGGTATAGTCCCACCCACTTGGTTTTTTCACTATTTTCAGCTCGCCCTCCACAGCCCTTGGCTCTGTCCCTTGCTCCAAAATAGAGATACTATTTGGGTCAGAGAGTCCTGCTTATAAGAAAGGAGAAATACATGCTGGGGCTTTTCTAGAACATAATCCCAGCCCTTTGTTCAGCTGAGGACAGAAGATGTTACAGATGGGTCTACACTGATTTTGTTCACTGACTGGCTTAGAAAATATTTTACCTATATAGACATCTAGCTCTCTTCTGAGAATTACTGACTCAAACGCATGGGAGTAAAACCAGGGAATCCAATATTTTTTTAAATTTTGCTACAAGATTTTATGATTACTCAAGTGGTAAAAGCAACACTGATCTAGTGAGGAGTGGGCAGATCATCTGAAGAAAGGAGATGAACGTCCAGGTCCCTCCTCATGAAAACTTTCAATTCAGAGTCGATATAGCATCAGTCCCAGTCTAGCAGGGCAGGTGCCCCCCAAGAAACTCACTAGGGCAGATCCCGACATCCAGAGGGACATTATCCTCACCGAGGGAGAGGTTCCTATAGTTCTCCAACATCACATCCTTGTACAAGGCCCTCTGAGCAGGGTCCAGGCACTCCCACTCCCCCGGAGAGAATTCTATGACCACATCCCTGAAGGTCAACAGCACCTGTAATGAAAACACATTACACTAAGAGACCACGGGAAGAGTTCTTCTCTTCACACAGATTATAGGAGAGAGGTGTAAAGATTGATTTGGCTGTAGTGACAAATCAGTGTAAGATAATTTTGTGTTATTATACTTCTCAAGCAGAGGACATAAAGCCACAAAATCACTGCGCAATCCACAATTTTGTGAACAACAAAATATACAAATAAAAAAATGTATCACAAGGTGGACTACATAGAAGGGCTAGATAGCACATTTGACACACCAATTGTTTCTTTGAGGAGCTACACTATGAGTAGTGTCTTTTTTTTTAATTACTTTTATTAACATATAATGTATTATTTACCCCAGGGGTACAGGTCTGTGAATCATCAGGCTTACACATTTCACAGTGCTCACCATAGCACATACTCTCCCCAATGTCCATCACCCAACCACCCTATCCCTAACCCCCAGCAACCCTCAGTTTGTTTTGTGAGATTAAGAGACTCTTATGGTTTCTTTCCCTCCCGATCCCATCTTATTTCATTTTTTCCTTCCCTACCCCCCAAACCTCCCACTCTGCCTCTCAACTTCCTCATATCAGGGAGATCATATGATAATTGTCTTTCTCTGATTGATTTATTTCGCTCAGCATAATACCCTCTAGTTCCAACCACGTAGTTGCAAATGGCAAGATTTCATTTCTTTTGATGGCTGCATAGTATTCCGTTGTATATATATACCACATCTTCTTTATCCATTCATCTGTTGATGGACATCTACTCTCTTTCCATAGTTTGGCTATTGTGGACATTGCTGCTATAAACATTCGGGTGCACGTGCCCCTTTGGATCACTATATTTGTATCTTTAGGGTAAATAACCAGTAGTGCAATTGCTGGGTCATAGGGTAGATCTATTTTCAACTTTTTGAGGAACCTCCATGCTGTTTTCCAGAATGGCTGGACCAGCTTGCATTCCCACCAACAGTGTAGGAGGATTCCCCTTCCTCCGCATCTGATGAGTAGTGTCTTTAAAGATTACAAAGTTCACAGTGCCTTTTAAGAAAGTTTAAAATGCAAGAACGTGATGATGATGATTATAATGGCAGAAACAAAAGTTTTTTAAACATTTACGATGTACTAAACATTACTCAAATGGGTATTATTTTGTGTAATAACATTAGGGAAATATCTGTGTCCACTTTATAGAGGAAGCAACTGTCACAGAAACTCTAAGAAACTAGCCTT